GAGAGAGAGAGAGAGTACTAAACTAAAAGCGAATACTAAAATAAAATTATCAAATAATGGCCATATATTTTCAATAAAATGAAGCAGTGGATTCACCTTATCAATTTTCGATATTAAATTCTTTTAGCTCATAAAACCCGGTAAATTTTTTACTTTTTTTTGGCAGGAGCTTTTTCGGCCTTGGCTATAATGGGGAAATTGGATGAGATGATGGCGTCAAAGGCAATTTCATTGACTATTGCGCCCTTTGGTGCAGTGTGTGCGGTCTTATTTGCTACCCCGACTTCGCCTGCTGCGCGGGTATACACTTCCATCGACCTTTTTATTTTGTTTTGTTTATTTATTTTTATTTTTATTTTCTATTGTGGGCGTAAGCTGGGTTGTGATACTGTTTAGTTTATCGTTTGGTGTATTTATAATTGAATTGTCTTACTAAATTATTTTTCACATTTCAATTTTTGGAAAACGATAGTGTACTCTTTCCACCACCATTCATCATGACAATGGTGTTTCTTGATGTTCTTTGATTGCAATATACTTCCCACGCACATTTATACATACCTCTTTTATAATTTTTGGAATACCGAAATGATCTGGTTGACATGGTAGATGAGGTCCACAATTTTTTCTTTTTGTTCTTTTTCTTAGAAGATGATAATATCTGAAAATGATACATTAGATGTAAGGCTGCATGAAATTCTGTTAACAAGATTTAAAAACATTAAATCATCAGAAATATTCTGAAAAAGCCAACTGTGATGTTAGGGAAGAAAGAAAACATGAGATGTTTTCTTACCAATCTTTTTATAAAATTTAAAATCCTTGGTTCATTTCAAAATATATACATGAACCTTGTAACAAAGTGCAAGGTAATGAAGAAGTAAAATATTGAAAAATACAGAATAAATGAATGACACTACAAAAACAAACGTGAACATAGGAATCCCTAATATGTGGTAAAGAGTTGTAACCTGATGTCATAACCTGATGTCATCTGTACAAAGTTTAAGACAATTCACAATGGACTCACGGCCATATGTATAGACAGTGTTGTGTGCATCCATTGTGTTTCCCCAAGATATTTTAGTGTGTCTCTCTTGCTCCTCGAACATCCAGCCCTTTTATCCTTTTGGCAATCTTGCTATACCTTTATCCAAAAGAAAAAAAACAAGAGAATGCTATAAATTATTAACCCTGTGGGTCAAATGGCCATGTAATACATTGTTTTTTTTTTTTTTTGTTCCCCTTTTTTGCCAAAGTGCAGAAATACAACATATTCATGGCTCAGATCGGGTGTGCTGCATTAGGTGTTTTGGCATTTGTGCTGTTTGGCCCTGGATGGTTGGCACGGAGCACTGCCCTTGCTGCATCCATTGCCTTCATGATCTATACTGGCTCTACACATCCTCCTGGTAAATCTCCACCATTCATCTAATGCCTATTTTATATGAGTTTTCATGTGAACCTTTTATTCAATGCCATGCTAGCCCCTTTGTCCGTTGGAAAAAAATATCTAATGGTTCTTAGTTACACGGTGGTTGCAGCTGCTAGCCTGCCTATCATGTTCATTGATGGGGCCAAGTTCCATCACCTGCACTTTTGGTATTCTATTTTCCCTGGAGCTACCGGATGCTTACTCTTATGCCTAATTGTAAGTGTTGCTTCTTTCCTCTTTCTAGAATGTTTGTGATACCCATCCGTGAGGGTAATAATAAAATCCCCAAGGCTGAAACTAACATAAATGTACCCATATTCGCGTCAATATCGCACCTCCCATGCTGAATCTGCTGCACACAAGCACACAGATGAAAAAGGGATGTTTCATTGTTTTCTTCTTGGGATGAGTTTCCTACTCTCTGAAAAAGTACGAATTTTCTTTGATCATTTAATCAGGTAGGAAGGTTAAGGACTGATTATTATTGTATTCTTCCACTTTTCATTGGGTTTCTTTTAATTTTATCATCCATGTCTCCAGTGGAAGTAAAGCTTTCATGAGATGCTCCTTGGACCTTCTACAAGTGAAATATCAAAAGTTTTACTAGTGCCTCTAGATCTATTCTAACACCTCATACATTCTTTTATGAACATGAAAAGTTGAGTTTTTTTGTTCTTATTTATTTCCTCCTGTTGTTTGTGGTTTAATGCAGCAAGAGGTAGTGATTTACCTGAAAGCCAACTACAAGTTCTAATGTCCAGCTATAACTGGGATGTTGCGCAAAATTCTGGAGACTATATTTGAAGATAGGTGGTCCCAATATTTATTGTACAGATATGAGGAAAGAAAAGGAGTTCACTCTTCGTTTATCACTTTTTTAGGTGTTCCGCATTCTAATGATTAGCAATTTTATTTATTCATATTAATTAAAGTAATAGGAAAACGCCTATAGGCGAATTTCTAAAGTGTTTCGTCCCTGCTTGTGACAGTTTTGCCTAAAAACCGCCACAGTCCTATGGAAGCCATGGTGGTCCCTGTATATTTTTTGCATGAAAAAAATATCTTTACGGACATGTTATATCCATGACAGACCGCCACGGACATGCTATGTCCGTGACGGTCTTTAATCCACGCCGTCCAAAAAAATTGGACGTCGTTGAGCCTATAGGCGAAAATACTGATCATTTTCCAAAATAGTAATATATGATGGAGTGTTAGTCTTTTCCAAAATAATAATATACTATGGAGTTAAATCTCAATCATGACTGTTTGTCATGGTGCCTCTGTTCTGATAGTCTTGAGAGTTCTTATTTATTTTCTTTAGAGCTCCAGTTGCTTGGGTACTTCCTGTAATATTTCATTTAGAACTTTTCTATCTACAAATCCCGGATGGATAGCGAAATAATCAATTGTAAGCGACTTGGAATTTGCTCAGTAAATTGACGATATGTGATCGGATGCTTTCGATGGGAAAGAATAATGGATTGTAATTGCAGGATTTAATTGGGTCCTTTAAGACGGTTTTTGGCGCCTTCCATATGTTACGCTTTTACAAAATTAATGAAGCTTGAAACAGATAAAACAAGGTATAATATTTAACATCTTGAACCCATGTTCACCAAACTTAAAGACGGTCATTTATTAACTGAACATCTTACATTCATTTGAAATGGCATTAATTTATTTCCATCATCATCACTAAATAGACAATAAAACCAGCAAAGAATTTGTGTTCAATCCTCTTCTCTCTGCCACGTCATGGGCTCCAACTATTCAAATTCACTCTTCCTCTTCCTTGACGAAGTCATTTCTAATGTCCGTCTCTTCATCCTCATTATAGAACTTGGGGTTCCTCAATGAAGTCATATCTATGTCTGCCCCTTCACCCTCATTATAGAATTGGGGTTGTCGAAGGGAGTTGATGATATTTGGTCTTCCCACTCCAAACTTTCCCACCATTTTCTGTCTACTCCAATGTCTCGTAGCCTTTTTGCACTTCCCACACCAAAAGGGACCCTCTTTAACCTTGGACATTCAAGTATGACCACCAACTCTAGTGATGGCCACTGCAAGGCATGATGACAAATAACATCTAGTTTGGGTAGATAGCATAGTTCTAATTTTATCAACTTTGGGAATATATCACCTTGTAGCTCCTCATCTTCTGTCACCGTCTCCATTCCTTTACAATCCCACACACTTAAAATTTCCAAACTTTGGAGCACTTGGGCCATGCCATTTGTGAAGAGAACTTGTAAACTTGGGCACCTCCATATGGATATTCTCTTAAGGTTACCAAAGCATTGGTTTGGCAACACCCCCACACAGAGTATACTCAAATGAGGCAATGAGTCAAGGACCAATTGCTTTAAGCTTTGAAAGGAATCCTCTTTGGCTTCATCTCCAACCACCACATTCCCCAATTCATCACAATGTTCTATTCGGAGATATATCAAGAAACGAGTGGGAACTCGAACCAAACCATGGCAACGATAGAAAATTAGCCGTTTCATGCTTTGAGCATTGTCAAGGGTGAACAAGGTGTCATCAGTAATAGTGCAGTGGCGTAGCTCCAATTGCTGTATACTCTTAACATGCAACTGGAGCCAATCCCAAGAGGCAACACCTTCTATAGAAATCCCCACCCATGTTAAGCAAGATAAGTGTTTCAGCTCATATATGCTCACTGCTCTTTTCGCACTGCTTCTCTTGTCCATTTTCCATTTCAAACCACTGGGCAAAATGAGTAACTCCTCTAAATTATGCAAATTAGAGAATAAATTAGGTTGAACTTGTACAAGGTCTGGTGTGTGGGATAGATCTAAGTGCCTTAGATTTTTTAACTTCCTACAACTTGCAGGTAACTCTTTGATCCCATAACAAGTTGATAAGTCCAGGAGTCGGAGTTCTTGGAGCTCTCCCATTGTTATTGGTAACTCTCCCAGTTTCTTGCAACCACTCAGACGAAGAACACGAAGGTTCACCAATTGGGATTAGGAACTTGGGAGAGATGTAATTCCTGTGAGACTCAAATTGAGCATGCGAAGGAAACACATGCACTGAAAGAAATTCTCTTGTGGGATGACATTTAGAGAATGATTGTTTTGAAGCATCAATGTGACAAGTTTTGGGCATTGTGGCAATTGAGGGAGATCCTGTAGGTCATTTTCCACCAATGAAATTCTGTCAGCTTCTTGCCATTCATTGGCCCTTGGTCCCTTCCGTGTTCTAGTATGAGCCCAAACAATGAACTTGGGATCATGCTCCCCTGACTCACTAGAAGTGATCCATAGTGCCAAATCTCGCATTACATCATGCATTTTCACTGTGTTTTCATGATTATCACCTTCAAGCATGCATGAGTTTTTGAGGCTTCCTACTAAAGTTTTCCCCTTGTCACGAACATCTTTAAGATCACCTCGTCTATCATCTACTAATCCCTCCGCTATACAATAATCACTTATTTCAAGTTCCCCTATCAAGTAATCTTGGGGGAACAAAGCACAATACAGAAAGAAAGACCTATATGCATCATAATCTAATCTATCATAACTAAATTTTAGAGGGATAAATACATCTTGAATCATACCTCGAAGATTGGAAGCTAACTGCTCCAATTCTCTTTTGGCATCATCCCATTCTCTTGTTGTATGTCGGTTTGCCATGGCCCGTCCCACGGTGATGATCGCCAGGGGTAGACCCTCACAATTTTTAAGAACAGCCTCGGCATGTTGTTTTATTGATGGATTATCAATCTGCATGCCAGTTTTCTTAAGAAATAGACTCCAGGCTTCCTCTTCTGGCAATTTTTTTAATTCAATTATGTGGTCAGCCTCCATGTCGGTACACACATCCCATAATCGACTCACCACAATAATCTTACTCCCATTCTTGTTGTTTGGTCTAGGAATTCCAACTTCTTTGAGTTCCATCCGGTTCCACATGTCATCTAGGATTAGGAGATATCTCGTTGTCCTCATAAGATTCAATATCTTTTGTGTCCCCACCTCAGCACTGTACATTGACAGATCTAGCATCAAGCGTTCTGCAATCTTCTCGCTTATATTTGATAAAATTGGATTCATGGAAACTCTGATCCATATCACGATTTCAAACCCAGAACTCGACTGTTACAGCTGATTGTTGACATTTTGGACAATAGTGGTCTTCCCCACCCCTCCCATGCCCCACACACCAATCACGTTTCTCCTTCGCATTTATGTTGTTCACAACCTCCTGCATTGTACGCTGAGCTGTTTGGCCCATGATTGGCTGGGTTTCTATCTCTATCACAGGCTGTGGAGGTGGGATTATGACTAATTCATCAAAGGTTTCTTTGTGCATCTTTTCGATCTCTAACTTGAGCTCGGCCGCTCTCTTGCTGAATTTGTAGGCTGGCCAACAATTTGTGCACCACCCTCCTAAGCATGTTTTACCTTTTTCATACTTTGATTGTATTTCGTGGGCTCTTGTTTCAATTTCATCAACACACTTTAACCAGTGGCTTACTTGTTCTCTAGGGATTCTTCCAACTCGTTTGGCTGCATCTATATCATCCTTAATGTCATTCTTCTGCTTTGTCAATTTTGTTGTTGTGCTTTCCATTTGCTCAACGTTCTCCTTGTGATTGACTAAGAAAGAAATATGTTGACAAAGGGGATCAATGACATGTTCGCCAAGTGCGCTGGCAAGTGTCTTCACAATTTCGTACAAGACATCCATAGAGTGAGAAACTAAACCAGAAGATGTGCTAGTGTGGAAAATCGAAGATAGTGGAAGAAGCAAAGTTAAACTGATGCAAAAGCCAAGTGGCTATGATGAATACAGAAACAAACTCTTCCGAAAAAATGCGAGGAGGAAAGATTACAAATCTCCTATATAATATTGGTTTGGTTCAAAGGGATGAAAGAAAGAGAGTAGGTGAGTAGGTAGGATGAGATTTGATGTGGAATGGCATGACGCTGGTGGGTTGGATTCATGTCAGCCTTTCTGGGGATAAATGAATGGATGATCAATTTGGGATGAAAGCTCTGATCTTTTTAAATGAGCTACTAGTTCTTTCCTTTAGCCTCTTGCTTAACTTTTTATTTTTTTTTTGAGTTTCGTTTCTTCATTCTGTCTCTTTACGTTTCTTTTCTTCATTCTCTCTTTGCTTTTCTTTTCTTCATTCTGTCTCTTTACTTTTTCTTTTCCTTTTTCTTTTAAATGTGGGGGGAATTACTTGAGGAAATGGTGGGATCAGATGCTCGGCTCTTAAAGAGGGATTAGCGGTCCCGATGTTTTGTTATCTCACCCAGTACTTGAAAGCAAGGAATTGGTTTAGACTCGGGACTTGATGGGGTCCCAAGCCTGAGTCAGATAATGTGAACCTGCAGAGTCCAGAGATTCGCCAAGTCTGTTAGATGCTCAGTTGAGTCTTACAAACATTATCAATAAAATTTCAGGAGCTGAGAAGACTCGGCGAATGTTTGATGTTTTTATTTCAGAATTGGCGGAATGTAGAGTTCGAGTAACTGAAGAAGTTGGTCTTGCCTAGTTTTCAAACACTGGTGTCAATGATAGCATAGAGGAAGGAATGGTAAAATCGTGATAAATGCTTTGGCATGCCAATGTGCATCATCGGAGATAAGTCTAAAAACTCAAGAACTTTGTGTTATTCCCGAGGTGTTATTTCAAGGAAGTGTCTCTTAACCATATGCTGTAGCAAGGAGCACCCCAAAAATCCTTCCAAGAAGATTGTTTCGAACGTTGATCTAAATTTTTTAGGAGCATTAAATTTTGCAAATAGTGGCAAAAAATAGTTTTTTAGGTCATTATAAGGGTTTTTTTTTTGGATAAATCAGTGGGGAGGTCCTAAGGGTTTTCAACACTGATAGTGCATCTTTTAACGATATTTAGAGGTGCCCTTTTCTTTGGTTGTTTAAGGTTTATACCTTATACAAACTGCACCCACAAACACACTCGCGCATGCACACAACACTAAGGCTTATTTCTATTTTTATTCTTTTTATTTTCCTATCTAAACCTCTACATTTTTTAAAAAAAAATATATTAGAAATAACATCATTTATATTTGAAGAAAAGATATGATATTTTTTATTTTTTCGTTAGTTCATCTAATATTGCTAAATCTCAATGGCTAACCACCAGCCCAAGTCCCATTCCTAAAGAAAAGATACTTCAATTTATAAAAAATATGTAATATTTTACACATGGTAACTATTATACCATGTGTCTTTTCTTGGGTATTTTGAAAGAAAATCAAACAACATGGGTAAATTGTTAAATAGCTCATATCTCATAGGTATTCTGATAAATTTCCATTTAAATATTTCCATTTTTTTAAAATTTGTCATTTTCTCATTGTTTTAAATTTCTTTCCCGTTTTGTTTTCCACTTTCTCATCCCTTACGTAAAATGCCGTTTCCCCTCGATAACGACCGTTATTACTATGAAAGCCTTGTCGATACGCCGGACTTTTATCCTAAATTATGGTCTGGTGCCTTGAATTGTCGATACGCCTGACTTTTATCCTAAATTGTGGTCTAGTGTTTCCATTAGTTCCCTTTTTTTTTCTCATTTTCAATCCAATTTGGCTCTTTTACTTTTGGAAAAATTATATATACCAACTAGACCATACTTTTTTCCCTACCCCAATACTTTTTAAGGAAAAACTTTATATAAGGTTGAGGCTCTTTTGGGTAAATAAAGGTTGAAGCCCTAAACAATTAAATTAAGGCACACCTCAAAAATTTACTAGAAGAAGTTATTTTGATATCTAAAAAACCTCAAATCCGATCATCTCAAACATGAGATACATAGACATAAAAAAAAATAGACTTCAAGTATTGAAAATAGTACATCTTATAATGCATTGTCTAGACCGTTAATTGTCAAGATCTTTAAGTGCTCAAGATCTCCTTGATCTACACTATTTTTGAAGCTTTTAATTTTATAATTAGAGATGAAAATAAATTTTTAGGCATCATAAAGATTTTTGGTATTGAAAACATATCTTCAACGCTATTTGAAAGTTCGCCTTACATCGATTGTTGAAGGCGTCAAACTTATGTAAACCATATCCTACTTTTAAACCACATCACTAACTCTAATGGTTTTTATTTTTGCACCCACCCTCAAATTAAGAAAGTAGCTTTTCTAGGACGAAAACACCCCCATGTGTATCTAACATGGTTTCCCTATCTTAAAACTTGAAGTTTAAAATTTTAGAGAGATACAATAACTTAAATTTTTTAGAGAGGAGCTAACTTAAATTTCAAAATGTTAAATGTAGAAACTATATCAAAATTTTTAGAAAGATAAACTATCTCAAATTTCAAGATGTAGTCAGAAAAACCATCTCAAAATTCTTTTTAGAGACATAAACTATAATTTAAAGGGTCACTAATAAATCACTTGAAATTTGAAATAATTTCTCTATCTAAAACTTGAGATTTGATATAGTTTCTCTCTCTGAAAATTTTGAGGTAATTTCTCTCTCTAAAAATTTTAAATTTAAGATAGTTTCTCTTTTTATAGTGCTACATCCTAGGTTCTATTCTTAAATTAACTTACCAAAAAAAAAAAATTGATCTCTTTCTAGAATTTGAAATTTCAAGTTTTAAGATAGAGAAATTATCTTAAATACATGGGGGGCATTTTTATCCTAGAAAAGTTATTTTTTCATTTAGGGGGGTGAATGCACAAATAAAAGCCATTTAAAAAGTATTAGGGTGGAGCATGCTTTAGGAGTGTAGTAACGGGGTATTTATAATTTTTGCTTTAAGAGTGTGTAGTCTAATTGGACTCAGTTTCTATGAGTCCATATAGAAATGAGTCACCTCTTAATAATCTATTTTTGAGATGGATTTTTTGACTTAATTTTTAGGGACTTGTAATCTCTAACACGGAGATCATGAATATGAATAAATAAATAAATTTAGAAAATTAAAATAATAATTCTATTAAGAAAACATTTGGACCATCAATTTCAATTGTTTTTAGATGGACCACTTATTTGCATCCATCTTTAAGATGGACGCTTCATACCTTGGGATGGTATATTGTAAAAATGTGATCCAGCCCGCATGAAACAATTTTTTTTATAATTTTTCATTTACTTAATATTCACCATTAAGATGGCTACTACTCTTATAAATGGAAACGGTTCAATCTTGTTATGTTCTTTATGGCAATGTCTAGCACTCTCCAACCTATGAGACATTTGGAAGGAAAGGAACATAAGGATATTTTGATAGCTCAGTCTTTGAGATTGAGGTGCCCAAATTTTTTATCATTTAAATTGCAGCTGGGATCGAGAGCATGGGGAATTTAGGAATGTCATCCTCAACAGTGATCAACCATAAAGGTTACGGAAAGAAGGCGCGTAGTACTTCTTTGATGAACTTTGATGGTAATTCTCTCGGGAACCAGATGTTGCTGGTTTTGGGGGATTATTTAGAGATAAATTTCTTCGTTAGTATTCTCTGGTTCATGTGGACATAAAAACAGCAAATGAGGCGGAGATGATCATACTATTTTGGAGGGCCTATATATAATCCTAGAAAGACAAACTAGTTATTCAATTGTTGTGAACACAGTAGAGATTGGTAGTGAGTTTTGAAGCTAATGGGAAGGCAGATGAGAGTCTTTCGTTGAAAGACTCTGGTTAGAAGTTCTTGAAGATAATGTTTTTCTGTTATTTCACATTTCCTAATTGAATTATGCTTTGTATATGCAATTTCTTATTATTATTAAAACTCTAGTATTACTTTGGAAAGGATAAAAAAAGAAGGCACATAAGACAATCGTATCTCCCTTAAAAAAGAAGAACAATTCTATCCCCCTCTAATGGATACCTTCAAAATGAATACAATAGTAAAAGTAATGCATCTTCTGCAATATCAAATCTACGTCTTTCAAATAAAGTGAACATAGATTACTACAACTTTATCTTTAATTAACAATGCACCTACATAATTTTTTCCTTTAAAACATAAGTATATTAATTTTGGGATTGTATGCTCGAGACCATTTTACATTTGGTCCAATTGTGTCGCAATAAACCTTACCCATCTTACGTCAAATCCAACCGCTTAGTTTAGATCAAATTCGAGAAATTTTAATTTGAGCTTTAAGCCGAACATATCATCAACCCAACATATCACCAATGGCATAATTTCAAATTTAAAGACCAAAGTTGATTGTGACCTCTTTGTATCAAAAGCTAAGCAATCTTATTACATACTTTTTAGTTGAGTCTTTGTCTCCATTACCTATTTCAACAATTATTTTTCATATAGTTTCTTTGCAGTTGTTGTCGTCTAGCTTGTGGCACCGATATGTTAATAAATGAGAGAGAGAGAGAATTGTTTATCTGTTGAGGCTCTTGACTCAAGAGATATCCCGTTGGAACTCAAAACATCATGGTATAACACCCACCACCCCAACCACCAATGGCTTGAGTGGTTTCTTGATGGGCTATGTCTTCATATGCAACTTTATGGCAAACGCAGTACCAATACCAAAGTGAGAAGCTGCAATTTTATGGCAAATGCAGTGCCAAAGTGAAGGCCTCTCTCTCTCTCTCTTTGAAGGCCGAAAAAATTAGAGAGCTGTTCTTCAAATCTAAACTTTTGCAAACACTAATTCAAAGCTATAGAAAATTTAAACCAAGGGGAAACATAATTTTTTAAATATCCCGATCATAACTACAAACGCTTCAACATAGATCT